AATTAGAAGGGATTCTAATGCAGAATACTAAGCAGCAGCCTGCTCTTGACTGTTATCTACGTCTGAATGATGAAGTTAAACTGTCTCCTTTCTGTGATGATGATTTCTAGCAGGCACACCCGTCAAACACACGGTACATACAGGCACTGCTGTATTTTTAGAAGGTTAAGAGTGGCCAGCAGTGAACTGAAGAATATCAACTTTCAGGCAATTGAGCCTTACAGAAAAGTTCACATTTGTCCAACATTACATAAAGTAGAACGATTTATCCACCTAATAGAAAAATATGTAAATATCTTTTTTATTTACCTGCATATGTCGAAACACAAGGCAAAAAACAAGATCTCAAAAATATTAGGCTAAAAGGATGTGGAGGCAGCGTGTGCAGCAGCAGGCTGGTGTACAACTCGCATGATGCACACAAATTAACTCTTTCAAATGTGCCCAGGGCAGCTCGGAGAGCACACGCAGGCTGTCCCCACTGTCACCTGGCTGCTACACCTCCAAGAATGCAGCAGAACCCCCCGAGTCTTTCCAGGGAGGGGACATCCTAAAAAGCTGGCGGCAGCCGGCTGCACTTAGCGCTGAGGTGTCTCACTCCCCAGAGGAACACGGGGCTCGTGAGGAACACGGATGTGGGATTTCTCCGGGTGCAGAACACGGATGTGGGATTTCTCCAGGTGCTCCCCCTACGTGCACGCACCTCTCCGGAGCATGTGCTCGCCCTGCAGCAGCTGCACGATGGCCGTCTGCGTGGCCGGCACGATGACGATGCTGCCGTCCTCGCGGCCGCACACCAGGCGCCCGTGCGCCGGGATGTACACGCTGGCCGTCACCTTGAGCGGCTCCGCCGCATTGGGGACCACGCTCAGCTGGTCGATGATGCCCGCGGGGTGAGGGCTCAGCTTGTTGAAAGCTTCCTGGAGGGATATGGAGGTTGTTGCTTGCAGTCCTGTTGGAGGAAAGAAAAAAAAAGGAAATAAGACTTTCGGAGAAGATCAAAGCCTGCTTTTAAATACAGCACACTACAGCACTTCACACCAAATAAAACACACGTCCTGGAAGCTGATTAACCAACTCCACGAGTGCTGGTAGCACAACACATGGGAGTGCTGAGAACACGTGGGAGAAACAACACGTGCGTGTGCTCAGCTGCCAGACAAGGTGACGCACGCAGGCAGCGGCCGCAGGAGCTGGCACCTGGAGAGTGAAACCCTGGAAAGTACTCAGAGTAAACTGAGGTTCTGATCGTGTGTTTAAAACTACTATAACCCTTACAGTAAGCTGACAATCAAAAAAAAAGACTATTCAAGCAGCACAAATTTCGTCTGTAACCTTCAGTAGTTCAGGTCAAAAAGTCTGAATTGGAGAAGAAAAATGGTTGGTAACACGAAACTGCAAGTTGCTGAGGGCCTGCCCGAGTGCTGGAAACAAAGGGGAACTGAGTGCAAAAACAAGCCAACAAACTTGAGTTTGCTCCCACGTTTCCAAAGCACGTGTCCACGGGGGTGCCGCGGTACCTGGCGCGCCGCCCCGCTGCTCCGGCGCGTCGGGCACGCTCCAGATGCACAGCCGGCCCGAGGAGTCTCCCTGGATGAGGAGCTTGTGGAAAAGCTCCCTGCGCCCGCAGAAGAAGCGAGTAACCGGAGGACATATCAGGAACTGTTAAAAATAATAACAACAATAATTAGAATGAGTTCAGGCACGAGCAAATCACACCCCGACCCCAACGTTCACTTTCCACATCATCCAGTGTACCTTTTAAGAGCAGGATGGGAACTGCACACTCTAAGCTTTAGCCATTGCAGTAAAGGTCAGTTCAGCAATAGGACTGATTAGTTATAAATATAAAAATTTCCTCTCCTCTACTTCTGTGACATGTTTTTATATGATACAAGCATTATTAATATTGCTAACATTTTAAAAATAACATTGACTTTGAGATATACTACTAGGTGAAGAAGTTCAACAACAGAAACAAAAAATACGTTAGAAATTCATGGGCAGCATAAAGATTGAAAAAAAAAAAAAAAGGCTAAAAATACCAATGTCCAAATTTGCCTTGAGGAATAATTAGGAGAATAATTTGCAGTTATTCTCCTAAATATCTACTCTGAGTAGAACAAGAACTCTAATGTCGACAGAGAGAGGAGGAGGTCACTTGGCAAGCTAAGTGAGCTTCGAGGCTTTAAAATAAAGAAACGCAGCGCACAGGGAAGCACAGGCAAGGAAAGCAAAGGAAAGATATCTTACCTGCTTATCTGCTCTGTCCAATACACTGTACAGCAAAGGTGGAATTAGGTTTTCTACTGCTTTTCCCACACCACTGCGGAACGAATCGCTGGCTGGTAGACAACTGGAGTTACGGACAACAAAACCAAAGGAATAAAATTCCTGATGTTATAGGGGAGAGACTACACAGGCTGCAGTATCACGAGACAGAGAACACGTTGGATTCTTGTAGTTTCCCTCCCTGAGCCTCCAGTCATTCCATGTGCAAGGATAAGCAGTGCACAGCAGATCACTGCCATCGTTTTAATGTGCACTTGGCTTCGGGTGCTGCCCAGCGCTCAGCGTCCCCAGCTTGGAATGGATAATCCAGGAGAAAGCAAAGCCTCCAGGACCACCAGAGAGACCACAGAACACGCTTGTGGAACACTAGTTCCTACAAGCTTCCTGTGATCTCGTGACTATATAGATATTAAAGATATTAAATACTTAAAGAAAGGGGCAGCGTTTCCACGCCGAGTACCTGGCGGGTAGTTTGTATATGAAGCTCTGCCCATCCTCTGTCCACACGATGACTTTGTCGGCTGCCACGAAGTCCCCCCCAGTCCAGGTCCGCTCGTTGTCGCTGGGGACTGAGCACAGCAGGGAATAATCGCCCGCGTCGAAGACCTGCAGAGGGACAGGGACGTCTGCCAGCAGCCAACAACTTATGGGAAAAAATGTAACGGCTACAGGACTAGCCAAAAGGTTACAAATATAGCTGTGCATTACAGTATTACATATATTACATCATATCACATATTTTACCTAGATAAAACTCAGACATTGTTCTGCTGAAGTAATATTCCCTATTATACTTTCAGGGGGTTACACTCAATGAACTCTAGAGCTTGAGTTGATAAAAGGCAGAAGCTTCTCGGGCTAAATGCTCCAATTACGGTTCATCTATAGTGGAAAAAAGGAAGAAAAGAAGGAAAAAAAGCAAAAGGCAGCTTTCATTCTGCAGGTCTACTTACCCTCCAGTATTTGGAGCACACCACCAGCAAGGACTGCTGCGTGAACGAGCAGAAGGAAATGCTCTGACAGTTCTGACAATAAATAGGTTTAGACTCCTCTTCAAACACCGGTGTAGTATCCTAAGAAAAAGAGCAATACAATCAATTCAATGGAATTTATTTAAAAAATGAATGGGAAATCTAACAGAGTCATATTCGCCTCTGTGGTAAAAGCTGTACCTTCTAAGACTGTTAAATTGAGGTTAAATTTTCCTCAAGTCACAAGTGTTTCCAAACTCTGACTGAAACAAACACTAACGTGGTACCCGGATGCCCTCAGGGCCACCTCATCTGTCGAACTTCCACCTTCCTGGTACAGAGCCAGGTCTGCAGGAGCATCACGTACACAGACAAGCGGAACCAACAAGTGGCATGCAAGAAACTTCCTCGGAGAGACCAGACACACGTCCACAAAATGACATGAACTGGGTAAACGGGAGGCCACTATTTTTCTGGAGAGTTCAGAGCATCAAAGGGTGCTCGGCCTGCTCAGCGCCGCAGCCCATGCAGGGCTGGGGCACAGGGCTGCTCTGCCCTGCTCTGCCCTGGCCAGCATGGAAAATCCCTCTGGAATGCGCTGGCAAACGTCCCCTCCGCGTGTGCCGAGGGGGCTGCTGCTACGGGCTGGATCCAGGGAGCTCCTGCTCCAGCTCCCGAGGGATCCCGGCCTGCAGCCCCATCCAGGGAGCTCCCGCACCAGCTCCCGAGGGATCCCGGCCTGCAGCCCCATCCAGGGAGCTCCTGCTCCAGCTCCCGAGGGATCCCGGCCTGCAGCCCCATCCAGGGAGCTCCTGCCCCAGCTCCCGAGGGATCCCGGCCTGCAGCCCCATCCAGGGAGCTCCTGCCCCAGCTCCCGAGGGATCCCGGCCTGCAGCCCCATCCAGGGAGCTCCTGCTCCCAAGGGATCCCTTGGGCCCCCGCTCGCGCCCCCGGGGGATCCCGGCCTGCAGCCCCATCCAGGGAGCTCCTGCCCCAGCTCCCGAGGGATCCCGGCCTGCAGCCCCAGCCAGGGAGCTCCTGCTCCCAAGGGATCCCTTGGGATCCCCCAAAAACCACGCACACTTCACTGAGGATGAATTTGTGCGAGCTGGCAGTGGAACAGCCGCAGCGGGGAAGCCCTGCTTTACCTGCACGCGGCCGACGTCCGAGGTGACGATCCACACCTTCAGGATGCCGGTCACGGAAACGGCCACCACGGTGTCCTCTGGAGGAAAACACAGCGCAGGGAGACTGAGCGCCCGGGAGCAGAGCGGGGCCGGCACGCGTGGGGCTGCCGGGGCGGACGGGGTGAGCACGGCGCCTGTTGTGCGTGAGGATGCGCACACACACACTGAACTTGGCTAGAATTGAGGCTCTGCTCGTGGGAAAGCCTTTAAATAACTAGAGCTACAACCCTTGGGGTGGAACAGCAACAGAGACAACGCTAAAAATATCCAACGTCATCAGATCTTCTTGCTGCACAAATATTAAAGCAGCCTCAGGACCACCGAGTAGCCGGGGACCTTTGGAATAGCATTTCTCTTGCAAGGAGGCAAAGTCATAACAGAAGCAATAAAAACAATTACCTTGCGTTCTGTTGGACCGAATGATACTCATGGAGCTGATCCAGTCGGGAGATATCTTGGAGAGCAAAGAGTAAAGCACTTCAAGGCTGGTGGCATCCACCACGAGGATCTCCGGGTAGTGCCCGTGGCACAACAGCCTCCCTTCCCGCTGGGTCCCGACAGTGAACTGGTAGAACTGAAGGGGTGGAAAGCAAACACAGAGCTTCTGCCTCAAGGGTGGCATCCCGTTATCGTTATCCAAACCATGATTTTGGAGCTATGTTCTCGGGGCTCTCCATGGAAGGAATGTCCCCTGCTCCGGGGGATGCCCAGCACAGCAGAAGCTACCCGGGCAGATTGCAGCATCTTCTAAAATACCAGCGTTAGGCCTCCCCCAAAAAGCCTTGCAGCCTGCAGGAGCACTCACCTGGATGCCCGTGTGCGCACAGGCCAACTTGGTGAACTCCATGCACCTCCCATCGCTCACGTCCCACAGGCACATCTCCCTGAAACGCAGAGGACAGGTGACAACTGCGAAAAATGAAATATTTGCAATGGATTCAGGAATCGATTACACTGGGAAAAAATTTAAACCACTGCTAGGAACTAGACGAGTTAGATTTTTATTCAGGAAACTCAGCAGAGATGCCTTTATATACAGCTGTGCTGCATCCTGCCACCAAAAATGAGGATGAAAAATGCAGGTGAGCAACCCGCCCTCCTCCATGTCTCTCAATTCCCGTTATTTAGCTGATTGTGCAGAAACTCACCCGCTTTCCGAGGCGCTCACTATGTACTGCTTGTCACTGGAAGCTGAGGCCTTGGACAAACACGTAACCGAGGCGGTGTGACCAAAGAGCAGCGCTCGGGGATTAATCTAGAACCAGAGGAATAAAGCAAAGAGCAACAATCAGAGGGAAGATTTTAAGAGGGGAAGGTAGAACACACGAACAGAGCGTGGAAAAGACTCAGCCCTGGAACGGGCACTATGATAGCAAAGGATCAAGGCCCTTTTGGCAGGGATGGTGAACGCCTCAAGGCAGCAGGGAAGGGAGCACCGCTCACCTCGAGGTCCGCGGAGAGGTCCCAGAGGCAGATCTGCCCGTCGTGGCAGCCCGTGACCACGGCGGAGGCGTCGTCGAGCAGCAGCAGCGCCGAGATGCAGTGCGTGGGCGCGCGGCGGCCCCACAGCACGATGGGCAGCACCAGGCTGTTGGCCGCCATCCTGCGCTCGCTCCTGCGGGATGGAGCACACGGAAACCCTGCGTGGGCTGCGGAGCCGCAGCTCGCGGCTGAGGAGTTGGCTCTGTGCCTGCCCGACAAGGAAAAGGCTTCGAGGGAGAACAAACCTCGTGCCCGGCGCTGCGAGCACCTCCTGGCCCAAAGCAGAGGGGCCGTGCGTACCGCTGCGCCCAGCCTGTCACCTAGTGCAATATTCCAGCAGCTACAGCCCAAACAGTGCCCTGAAACACGCCAGTTATGCAAGAGCGGATCGATTGTTCCCTGCTCCCAACACGGCACAGCTGCAAATTCCTTAGGGATACCCTGACCGCACCGAGGATTGCACACCTAAAGAGCTACCGGTCTAAAACAGCACATTTGTAGGGACTTAACCTGCAGAAAACGCAGGAAGAGCACAAATAAAGCACATCTTCTGCTCATAGTTCAGGGAACAAGTCACACAACTCGTATTTATGCTCATCTCAGTCACGCAAACAACTGCATTTTGAATATACAGAGATGCTGCTCTGCCCGAGCACACAACTACCTCTTCTTGGCAGCCTTGCTGTGAGCTTATTGCTTTACCAAACTACCTGAAAACTTCCAATTTCACAGCACTATCGACGCAAACTTTATAACAAAACTGAATTTCACAAGGAAAGAAATGGTTATTATAATATGCAAGAGCGCTAGCACATATAAATACCCACTGTACATCTTCCGTATAGAAAAATGCAAGAGAAAGTATTGAAAAATGCAAGAGAAAGTACTGAAAAGATTAATATCAAAACACATTTTAAAGGTTTACACACAAACGCATTTCAAAACCTTATCTGAAAGAGAAAACCATAATCCTTAGCCTAGGAAGCATCAATCCTCGGGAGGGAGAACAAAAAGTACCTCTTTCCTTCGAGTTTCCTACAACGGTATCGCAAGGCCTTCACCAAAAACTTCATTTTCAGAAAGCACCACAAGTGCCACATGCTGAAGCGGGAGAGCCGGCTCCTCTGCCGCCGGTGAACGCCGAATGCAGCCCTGCAAAAACCCTACCTCCTTCCTGCCTGCAATCAATGAATATCGATGGGTTTACAGCAGTGACGACACAGCGGGGCGGCGAGCGGACGCCGCGGCGGGTGATAAAAGCACCAAGCGAAGCTCTGCACATGAAAACCCAGGTCTGGCTCCATCTAAACCTGACTAAACCGCCTGTTTTTGCAGAAACAGGAGCTGGGAAAGGGAGCTGGAAAGTGAAAAATAAGGCAGGACGGCACCGACTACTTGGCCCTTTCACGTCCTTCGCCGCTAACCCCTCCGTATCTTCAAACTATAACCCAGGTAGTTGCATGTCCCAACAGGTTTCAAGGGGGTTCTGCATTTTAAAGAGAAATTGATCACCGAAATTACCAAAAATACATGAATCTCACTATTTCTACATTAGTAACAGAGAAGGATTTGAAGGAACTTCCCTATTACATCATTTTTAAGTCGTCACGTGGGTATAAATCAGGAACATACTAATCTGGCAAACTAGTCAAGTGACATTTCCTAGGGCAGTGCTTACAGCTGAGACTTAGGTAAATTTGACAACAGCCAGGGACAGATTCCTACGTGAGTTAAGCTATTGATTTAAGCACAACACATAAATACTAAAGAGTTTTATATAAAAGTGCAGATGAGCCGGCCGAGCTCGGAGCGGTCCCCAGGCCTCGGAAGGCCCCAGGTTTCCGTGTCACATCGCTCCCGGCGTGTCACACGTCCAGAATGAATCATTAAACACTGCCAGCCGAGCGCCTGCTTTAAGTAAACGTGACCGTGCTCGGCCTTGTGCAAAGCAGCTCAGAAAGGTTAGGTGTAGATCATTCCTCTCCCTATTTTCCCCCACACAGGAACACTGTTTTCCCTAGCATTTAAATGACATTATTATTCAGATTTGCCACCAAGGAGCACAGAGGTGGCTCCAGGAGAACCCTCCTCCGTGCCCTGCAAGCGGGCAGCAGTTTTAATGCCTGATCCCTAATTAATCCCACTTGAAACAGGTGACACGAGCAGAGCATTTTGGCACCTCTCCTAAGGCCATTTACACCCCTTCATTGCAACAGGTCATCTCTCTTACAACTTGCCTTCCATTTGAATAATCCGATGCTTTTCATAAAATTGGAAACCTTTAGTATTATTACCAACAGCCTTTTCCATTTGGTACAGGGAGTTTATTAAGAAAAGGGGCTAACATGGGCAAGGGAAGGAAATTAAGACGATTTGCCCACAGCTGTGGCAATCTTTGCCATCAGGACCCAGATGTTTAGGGAGCTATAACTTGGTTTAATCACCACCTACTTGCACTTCCTAATGGATTTTGTTGTTTAAGCGGTCGGTAGAGCTTGCTGCATCCATTGAAAATTGTTTCTGAAGGACGGCCAGTAACTCTCAGTCTTTCTGCATGGCGTTTTTATTCACCATAAGGGCATCAAATGCAAAATATCACATTTTTGCTTTCCTGGTTCAACCACGAAAGTGAGTCTGAGAAGGAATTAAGAAAGCCTTTAAATACTGCTGCTCGTTCAGCAACAAAATCCTGCAGTTCTTTTAAGTAAAAACCAACCAAACGAGATGGTACCATAACCCCATGATACAAACCAGTGCAAAATCACCCAGCAGGGCAGTTCTCCGACACACGGAACAAATGATCAGCGTTTCGGGAGACGCACGCCAAGCACAGGACACCAGAATCAGGGAAGGGCGACTAAGCTGCTGACCGGCAACCACAAATACATAAACCGTAACTGATACAACCATATAAACCTTAATAGACATATATATATGTATATATATATGTACAGGCAGTGTTTGGGGCTGTCCAGGGCGCAGTCTGGCGCGTGCCTGTTCGCAGTGTGGGACCCCCCACGCAGGGTCACGGTCACACACGAGAACGGACCCGAATTCGCTTCCGAAGCGAACGCCGAAACGCGCAGCCGATCCGGACCCCATCCGAGGGACTGACCTTTACGCGGCGATAAGAAATAATATATAAAAAACAGCAGATGAGAGCACAGCAAGGATGCGCTCCCACCAGGCAAGCCCGGGGCCCGCACCGGGGCTGCGGCGCGGGGCCCGGG